TAAATATTCTATCGATATTAAATCTGTTTTTCTCATAAGGACCGTATTTATTGAAGCTAAAGTCATTGGAAAGTTATTGCTTCACCAAAAAGCTTTAAAGATCTCCCTCCTGTTCAATGTTCGGAAAGCTCCTTTAGCCAATTAGCCTAATAAAACTACCACTATCTTGTTTAAAGGTAAATTATTGTCGAATTAGAAGTTTGACAAGACGTTGATCATGTCACGCCCCGAACCCCTTCGAGCCCGCGACACACTTCTCTGATTGAATAATGCGATGTCCCAGGGTATCGCCGACCCAATTGAACTTATCAGAGATTTGAAACAATCAGCGAAAGTCACCAATACCCGGACAAATAAAACTGGGATAATTAAGGAGAATAAATATACTCATTCATCATTCAAACTTATATAATATTCACAATTTACAAACCACCATATACACAAGCACACCGAACTTCTACACTATTAACCACCGACATAAAAAAGGATCGATAGCCTGGGTTTCCCTATCACCAAAAATGGAACACCTCAACTTCCTATTCCAACCCCTGAACCTAGCCCCTACACCCTCTGCTTGGCGTCCACTCCGAGTCTGATTCTTTGTCATTTGAATCTGAATTTCCTTGGACTATCTGCTCTTCCGAGGACTCAGGCTCGGCCTCAATCTCGATCGGGTGATTTATGTCACCCGACTCTACTGGAACCTTGTCCCGCTCCTCCGAGTCGGACTCCTCATCAGACCCGTACTCTGGTACAAATTTGGGGTCAATCCACTGTTCATACGGGGGTATATACTCCGGTTCTCCTTCAGGCTCAGCAGGTTCATCCTCGGGTTCTGCCTCGGGCTCTTCTTCTTCCGGTTCTTCCTCTGGGATCGCCTCGAGATCCACGTCCATTGGATCGTACCCCGCCTGCGATTCATCAGGTTCTGGTTCATGCTCGGCCTCCGAGGGCTCAGGTGCTACAGGCGCTTGTTGCAATCCAGACTGCGCCAGACAAGTCTCCACACTAGTCAATTCGCTATCAGGAGGAGGTATAGCAGACGGGTCCCAATCCCCAACTCCATCAAAGGGGACGTCAAATCCACGAACGGGACCAAACTCGTCTATCCCGTCTCCAAAGAACCAAGCCGTGTACGTGTTGGCTTGCCAGAGAGGTAATCCTACGTCTACCCAAACTACCATCGTATGCTTAATCCAGGTCATATTATCATCTATAGGAAACTCTACAACATTGTGATCGGTGTGCACCGGTACTCCAAAACGCTCAGGTGGCGGCGGCGGCGAAGGATTCATTACTCAGGCCGGGGTTCTGAAATGTTTGGTTGAAACAACCATGAGAATACATCTCAGCAAGCACGCACCCTAAACCTCACTTAGGTTATCACGTACCTCCAAACAATCACAAACACAATCACACACCCAACCATCACATAGCAGGCACGCCATTTGTACTTACCTAGGCCTTTCCAGCGTGCAACCTGCACGTTAGCCATGGTAGTAAAATTTCCAATCACATGCACAATCTAATTACGTTTCATGCATTCGTTCCGATCTTATCACCTCTTTTCCACACTACTCGCCAGTGACCCGCGTAATGGTACCACATCAGGTTCATTGCGACTAACTCATAACAACACTTCAAGGCCCGCGTAGTGGTACCACCTCAGGCCATATATCTTGCCCGCGTAGTGGTACCGCCTCAGGCTTAACACCCACCACCTACAACACAACCCGCGTAACAGTACCGCCTCAGGTTGGCCACCTTCCAGTAATACCGGGCATCGTCCCGCGTAGTCGTACCGCCTCAGGACGAAAATATCCCCGCGTAATGGTACCGCCTCAGGGATTTAGTAATCACACGAACATCGCACATCTCAAATCTCACACGTGCGCACACTCGGGCATCAATCAATTGCACATTAATGCACCCAATTTCATCACCACAACTCAGCCACATTACAAACACCCAATTAACATACGAATTGCCATTTTTCTACATCCAAACTACGGCAAATCAATTCCGGTCCTTCACGACATTTTCACACAATTAATCGCCGAATCCAAATACCCATTTACATACCGGACAACACATCACAGCACGCATTTCAGCCTCTCACAGCCCGCTTTTGGCCTCTAATTTTCCACCAAAATCTCCCAATTTCATTCCTAAGGCCCGCTAATCAATTCCGCCCCTGAAATCATACTAATCCGCGTCTAATTAAACCCGATTCCACCTCAAATTTGTCCGTCGATATCCGAAGTCCTAAATAAAGTTTAGGGCGCGACTTACCGAACTCTAGACTAACTCGGCTAGAGCAGAAAACGAGCGGCGGTCAACGGTGAGCGGCGGCGATTGGCTCGGCAACGGCGGTGGCGGTGAGCGGCGGCTTGGGCCGGTTCCTCACGGCCACAGGAGAGGGGGAGAGAGAGAGAACCGAGAGGTTGAGGGGGACGGTGGTGGTGCGGCGGCGGTTGGGTGGACGGTGGCTGGACGGCGGTGGCGCAGCCGAGAGGGAGGGGCGGTCGGCGGTGAGGGGAGGGGGAGAGAGAGATGGAGCCGAGAGATGAGAGAGAGAGAGAGTGTTTGGACTTAAATAGTCAAAAACCAATAATTGAGGGGCCAAAATGACCATCATGCCCTTTCCTCATAAATCCAATCAACGGCCGAGATTCATTCTTATCCTGAGATCGACGGCCCAGATCGAATCTTTCCCAAAAATATCCAAGGGCAATTTGAGAATTTCATAAAATTCCAAGGGCAAAATTGTTCAACTCAAAAATTAGGGCAAAATGACCAAAATGCCCATCCCCTTTAACACTTGCCCCTTTATAAACTTCCAAGGGTAAAATGGTCACTTTTCCATTTTCTTGCCGAATTTGAATTTTCTGAAGGATTCGGGAAAATCCAAAGCTGTACGTTCCAACCACAATGTCATCCTAACGTCCCGTTGTGACTTCTTAATTTTTTGCGATACCCAATTTAGGCTCCAATTAATAATTGGATTTTATTTAACGTAACTCGAGCGTTTCTCAAACTAACGGGCGGCTTTTGGGGAAATTTGCATATTCAACCCGTGACTGATAATAAATCAAGTCACGTGCAAGTTCATTCAGTTCGTGACGACTTCGATTGTCATGTAATCGCGAAGTTCGATCGCTAGTTCCGTCAGGCACGATCGTTTGGTATAGATTCAGGATCATCCGCCAATTCATTTCGTGGTCCAGCGGAATCACCCGCGATCCACTACTATGACAGTGACGAACTGACCCCTGGTTATCCTTGGATCGGCCTACAGTGGCTCAAAATGTCACATCGACGATTTTATGGTCGAAAATCAATTCACGATCGAATTTTCTTTAGTCGCACGAATTTAAATCCCTAATTAGCCTTTCCCTAATAGTTAGTATCTCCGGAATGATCAGTTCCGGGCGAGAACTAACTACGAGTATGTTCATAAAATCAAGCATTTCATAAATCCCAAATGGACAAATTTCAGGATGTCACGGATCACGTAGCTACGACATGACGGAAAGTACAAGTGACGGCATCTCTACTCTTTTTTCTTCCCATGCAAAACAATATTGATATTGGCATGTGCGGCTTATTTTTGTCGGTAAGTGAATCACTCGCAATCTGTAGAGCTTCGGAAGCGTGATTATAATAAATAATTTCTTATTATTACAAGAACAACACTCAACACACATCCACGGTGGAGTTCTTTCTACTCCACACCTACACATGGAGCAAGTTGCTCCTATTTATAGGATGCAAAGTTAGTGCATTCACCAACTTTTCTAGCTTTCTACAATATTCTAATATAAATATCTTCTTATCTTAATTATTTATTGTATAACAACTTGGCAACTAGATTTCTCTAAAGAAAAATCTGGAGAAGGGAGAGAGAGTGGCGATGCTCCCTTCAACATGATCGTCAAATTTCAGCAGATTTTGCAATTGAATGGTCGAACTGTGATATTTCAATCCCCCAATCCAATGAATTTTCATTTTCTTCTTTGTACTCAATACATTTTGACCCAAAAATCGGACAATTTTTTCCTGTGAAATGCTGATGTGGTGCTCACAAAATCGGTTTGGTGTTCACCACGGCAGCCAGTTGATTGTATAAAGAGACGAAAATTTGGTGCGATATCGCGTGATTGATACAAAGTCTAACTAGGAATCTACGATCGTAATCTTCACGAAATTCTAAGTTTTTTTTTTAGGGAGGAAGAGAGAGAGGAGAAAATATTGCATGAGTAGAATACTCCACATCAGCAATACACAACTCCATTGGGTGTGTGACACGTGACAAGCGGGCCCACAAATCAGATTTATTAAAAAATCTAACTCTTTCCCTTCTTTCTTCCATCCTCCGTTAACCCTCCGTCATCTTGCCTCTACTGCTCAAATATACGCTTTTCCCCCGGTTTCTCTCTCCCTCGCTCGTCTCGCTCAAAATTCCTCCCGCTCGCGACCTCCTCTTCCTTCCTCCGCGACTTCGCCTCCTTTGATCGTGAACCCGCCGCGCCCGCTGGTGGCCTCCGCCTTCCCTTCTAGAAAACCCATATGCTCTCTCTCTCTCTCTCTCTCTCTCTCTCTCTCTCTCTCTCTCTCTCTCTCTCTCTCTCTCTCTCTCTCTCTCTCCTCCGCGAAGCGCCGCTCTTTTTGTGAACCGCGCCTCCGCCTTTGCCAGTTGCCTTCGCCGTCGCCTCCCGGAGCCCGTCGGTGGCTCAGATCCCGACCACGCGGCCGCCTCCGCCTACGTCGTCGCCTCCGAAGCCCCCATTGGCGATTCGTCCTCTGCCCCTCTCTCTCTGTCCCAAGAAACGACACCGCTTGGCTCTCTGTGACGAACCGCGCCTCCGCCGTTGCCTCCCGAAGCCCCTTTGGCGATCTCGGGCTCTGACTCGCCCTCTGCGTTGCTCCGAAGCCCCATTCTCAGGTTAGGATTTTATATGACTTGAACTTATTCTCGTCGTTTTTGCCCTAACGTGAAGATCGGTGGCTCAGATCCAACCACGCGGCCGCCTCCGCCTACGCCGTCGCCTCCGAAGCCCCCATTGGCGATTCGTCCTCTGCCCCTCTCTCTCTTTCACAGAGAAACGGCTCCGCTTGGCTCTCTATGACGAACCGCGCCTCTGCCGTCGCCTCCCAAAGCCCCTTTGGCGAGCCCTCGGTGGAGGAGCTGGCGCTGGTGGTGATGGTGGGGTCAAGGTGTGCGCGTTCGACAATCGTAGTACCGGTCGGAGTTCTGTGCCCGTCGACATGTCGGAGTACACGTGAGTCCGATCGACGCATACCGGGAGCTTTCTAGTTCATTTGAGTGTGTGCTACTTCGTGGAGTTTCTTGAATCAAGAGCGTATTCACAGGAGAATGGTTGCCAGTTGGTGCAAAGCTGAAATGCTGCTTCAGCTTTCGTTGGAATAATCGTGCACATTGGATGGCTTTCTTAGTCTTTTAGTTTGATGATAATTTGGTGTTGTTCCAAAAACATTTTAATGAAAATTGACTTTGACTTTCGATGTGATTTCTGGAGCAGGACAAAGATTATGGCGAAAGATGTGATTGCTGTACTCAATCACCTGGGATGGGAAAGAGCTCATGTCATTGGCCATTCAATAGGTGAGTTTTGAATGACCCAAATTTCATGGATGCTTAGGGCCCGTTTGGTAACGTGCCAAATAGTAAAAATTTCTGTTCTTTTGTTCCCAGAACAGTTTGGGAACAGAAATGCGTTTGGTAAATTTTTTATTCCTCGGCACAATTTTACAAAAATTTATGCCCAGAAACAATTTTGGATGAGAAACAAGAAACAAAAAAAACTAGCTTCTTGTTTCTCGGCACAGAAATAAGAAACAATTTTGGAAGCGCTGAGGTTCCAAAATAAGAAACAATTTTGGAATCACTTTTTACTCCTCTCCTGCGCAGAGCTCGTTCTGCTCTGCTCCTTCACCGCTGTTGCTCCTTCACCCACGAGGCTGCTCCTTCACCGACACCGACGAGGCTGCTCCTTCTCGTTCGAGGTAAGTTCTTGCTGATGACTTGCTCCTTCTGCTCCTTCTCATTCGACGGCGCTCGCTCGAGCAACCATCGCCGATCTAGGCAAGGGCTCACTCGAGCGAGCGCTGCCCTCGTCGGTCTGGGTGACAGCAAGCTGGAGCGAGTGGGCGAGGGCCGCACTCGCTCGAGCTCGCCGTCGCCCAGACCGGCGAGGGCGACGCTCGCTCGAGTGAGCCCTTGCCCAGATCGACGACGGCGAGGCTCGAGCGAGCGCTGGCCTCGCCCATCTAGGCTCGCTCTCGCTAGAGCGACCGCCGCCCTCGCGAATCTGGGCGAGGGCCGCGGTCGCTCGAGCAAGGCAGCGGTCGCTCGAGCGAGGCCACGCTCGCTCGAGCCTGGCCATCGCCCAGATCGACGAGGGCCGTGCTCGCTTGAGTGAGCCCTGGCCCAGATCGGCGATGGTTGCCCAAGCGAGCGCGTCCGCGGTCCTCGCCGATCTGGGCGACGACGAGGCTCGAGCGGGCGCTGCCCTCGCCCATTTGGGCTCCTTCTCGCTCGAGCGACCGCCGCCCTCGCGAATCTGGGCGAGGGCCGCAGTCGCTCGAGCGAGGCCGCGCTCGCTCGAGCCTCGCCGTCGCCCAGATCGGCGAGGGCCGTGCTCGCTTGAGCGAGCCCTGGCCCAGATCGGCGACGGTTGCCCAAGCGAGCAAGTCTGCGGCCCTCGCCGATCTGGGCGACGGCGAGGCTCGAGCGGGCGCTGCCCTCGCCCATTTGGGCTCCTTCTCGCTCGAGCGACCGCCGCCCTCGCGAATCTGGGTGAGGGCCGCGCTCGCTCGAAGTTGTTTTATGCAATTATGGTGATACGGTGTTGGTCATTGGTAATCGTCTTGCGTTAATTTTCTGTTGCTTTTCACAACGGCGATCCTTTTTGCATTGGGGTGGTGATTTTCATTTACTAAATGGTTATTCTGTTTTCTTTATCAGATTGAACAAGCTAATTGGTGATTAGTCAATTTGAGTAGAAGTTCATTACGCCTGGATTCATCTCCACGCTTCTGTCCAGTGCTTTCTATTATTTGTCCAAGTTGATTCGCAAAGGTAAAATCCATACCTGTGGTTATCGCAAAGGCAGACTTTCTTGTGGTTATTCATGGTGGACAATCTGTATTTGTTCCGTAGGTGCATTATATTGTGCAGTATGCGCATAAGAAGACCATTAGGAGTATTAACATTCTAGTGTCTAGGCAAGCATATTGAATTTGCACTGCTGTTTGGGTATACTTTTCAATAGTTGTTAATGAGCAAGCTTGAATTATCTTTACAGTGAGTTATATGTTGACAATAACATCACGCCCCGCAGAACATCCAAGCATATCACTAGTCAAGAAGTCGTATGTATTGTAAATGTTCTTTGGAGTCGGATACCCTGCACCTTATCTTCTACTGTCGTCTCTGCATGTTTTGTCATCATCAAGAAGCCGTATGTATGGACTGCCGAGGTTTTATTCAAAACTGATTCCTGGGTGCGTGTGTAACATCCGAGGAAGCACCATATGATAAATGATCTTGTTCGTGTCATCTTCCATACCTTATAATCTCCTTTAGTTCTTGTGTCGAGTGGCGTCTCCTGTCGCTCTTCCTAGCCCCTTCCTCCTCGCGTTTTTTGCTTCTAGCGATCTGCTCGCTCGGGTCGTTCGAGTAATTTGTAAGCAGCTCGTGTTCCTATGGGTCCTTCGATGGAGGAAAAGCTTGAAAAGCTTTATTGATCAGCATCCGACAAACTGTGGGAACATCATCTGACTAGTGATATGCTTGGTTGTTATGCGGGGCGTGATTTTTTTCTCTTCTCTTATCTTTACATGACTATGTTATTGATTTAATGCATGACTCATATGATTCTCAATCTATCAAGGTTACATGGCATCTCAAAAAGAGATATTCAATGCAAAGTGGACTGAGCCTTTAACCAACATGTTTGTAAGTTTGTTGGTTGAGGAGGTCAAAAAGGGAAATCGCACATCTTCTACTTACAACAAAGTTGGGTGGAATAATATACGGACTGAATTCATTAAACAGTCAGGATACCAATATACCCTAGTTCAGTTGAAGAACAAGGTGAACAAACTGAGGAAACAGTATGGTAGTTTTAAGAAGCTTCTTTTGCAATCCGGATTTGGCTGGGATAATGTGAATAAAACTGTTGTTGTCGACGATCCAAGTATTTGGGAATCTCACATCAAGGTATCTTTTAACTTTTGATTATTTTGATTTCATTGTACATGTAAGTTTTAAAATGTTTCTGACATGTCATTATTGTGAAAATTGTAGGATAATAGTGAGTGGACAAAATTCAAGAAGGATGGATTTCCCCAGTATCCTGAGCTGTGTATTGTATTTGGTGGTACATATGCTACTGGGGAGCATGCCATAGGAAATGTCGAAGATTTGACGGTGTCAGAGGAAGGTGACAATGGTGGTGGCGATGCAGACGGTGATCTAAAGGACTTGAGTGATCACCACATTGATGAGACAGTCTTTACATCCGGCAATAGTGCTGATCCAGTTCATGTGAAGCACCGTTTGGATAGGACTCCAAATGCCAAGAGGAGAAGAAAGAATACCTCATCTTGCATTGCTGACACTTGCAAAGCTATACAGGAGCTGATCAAAACTAAGACAAGTCAATCTGTGAATGGCTCTGCCACCTCACGGGTCACAGAACCACCTGTGGACCCTTACTCCGTATCCGCCGTCATTGATAGCCTACTTAGTATGCCCGACTTGGGACCAGATCGTTATAGCAAAGCTATAGAACGAGCATGTGTTAGTGCCACATGGATGGAGGCTTTCATCAAAACCCCAGCTGAATGGAAAAATGCACTTATTGAATCTCTTTACTAGATGTTGGGAAATGTACTGTTGATTGTGTGAGGTTTCATTTGATTGTATGACTTATGTTAGTACTTGATATTTGGTTTTTAGAGATATTGATCTTGAGACTCTTGTACTTTTGTGGTGCCATGGGTACACCAAACTGTTTAGGTGCTATTTATATATTTGGTTTGCTTTCACTTTATGACTTATGTTATTGGTTGTGATTGGATTTTTTTTTTTACATATCTATATTGATGTTCTTGTATTTGTGTGATAATATAGGTACTATGGAAGGGGGATCAAATAGTGTGTCTAATGGGCAGGTAGATCCAGATGAACAATTATTGGATGATGATGATGTATATATATTGATAGGATGGTCGTGCATCATTGCGGAGGACATGTCCATGCATACGAGAGAACCTATTAGGGACAGCAAACTATCAGGACCTGAATGGATAAGGGAGATTGTTTATGGACATTCAGATAGATGCTATGAAGCCTTCAGGATGGAGAGACATGTTTTTCAGAACCTATGTGAATTAATGAGGGCAAAAGGTTGGTTGAAAGATAGTCGGTTTATTAGGATAGATGAACAAGTTGGGATATTCTTATCTATGGTTTGTCACAATAACTCCAATAGAGATTTATGTGAGAGATTCCAACATTTAGGACAAACAATTAGCAACTATTTCAATATAGTGTTGAAAGCAATTATCAAACTCTCAAAGGAAGTTATCAAACCACCGTCCTTTGATGTTGTTCCACAGGAAATTCTTATGAATCCTAATCATGAACGATACTTCAAGGTATGGTTTTTATTTTTTGAGTTTACATTATCAAATACATGTAGTTGATAATCTTGTATAACATTAGATTTTTATAAATGCACAGGGCTACGTAGGTGCTATTGATGGCACCAATATCAATGCTTCCGTCCCTGTGTCTGAGCAGGTCCCATATAGAGGTAGGAAAGGGAATACCACCCAGAATGTGCTGTGTGTTTGTTCATTTGATATGAAGTTTACTTTCGTGTATTCTGGGTGGGAAGGATCTGCCAACGATTGTCGGGTGCTTTCGGCAGCACTCGAGACTCCTCGACTGCAATTTCCTCGGCCACCACTAGGTATTTGCTTTGTCTATAAGAAAAACTTTCTTTATGATTGTTATGATTGCATATTATAACAAATTTATATATACCATGTTATAGGCAAATACTACGTGGTAGATTCTGGTTATGCATCACTTCCGGGATTTTTAACTCCGTTTAAAGGTGAACGGTATCATTTGAACGATTATAGGGGGCGTGGAAGACGGCCAAGCACAGCAAGAGAATTGTTTAACCATAGGCACTCTTCACTAAGGAATGTCATTGAGAGGTCATTTGGGGCATTAAAGAATCGCTTCACCATTTTGAGACACATGCCCCCATTTACAATAAAAAAGCAAGCACTTGTTGTAATTGCATGTTGTGCTCTCTATAATTACATTCGTGAGGAGGACAATATGGACAAAAACTTTTCCCATTATGGAGATCCAGACTACCCATTTGGAGCTAGAGAAGTGGAGGTTGCGGATGATACACCACTTGAGCAAGCAGCTGAGATAAACATGCTTAGGAAAAGTATTGCAAATAAAATGGCAAGGGATTACAATCTGCCCGAGATTCCATGATTTGTGTTTCTGACTTTTGTAATATTATTTTTAAATACTACATGACGATGGGAGATGATCCTTACATGTACTTTTGTCATTTCCTTTTGTTTTATTACATGTACTTTACTGATGGTATGACATGAGTCGATCAACGAAAAATCTAGTAACTCAAGGTGCAATTTTAGTCCAGTCAAAATTGTTTATACAAGATTGCTTAGGTAGTTGCTTAGGGGGAAGTTGGACTTACATAAGTTCCTGCCAACACTTCTTTGTGATACCTAAAGTTTTAACTAATAAAACATCCACAAAAATTTTCTCCATAATGAAAAAAAGGAAAAGGATTTAGATGAGATTCATCATAAAGTCTTCAATACAAGCACTTACCTAATATTTGGATTTGGAGTAATGTTTCCATTCTAATTCCAAGTTCTTCGATAGGAGCAAAAATACAGTAAAGTCAAAATACGGTATACACTGCTAGGAGTGATAGAGGGAAGAGTTTGTACCAACTATATACCATGTTTATACATATCACCATGTTTCCTTCACTTACAAGAAAAAAATAAAATTGGTAAGTGCTCCATGAGAATTAATACCAAGTTTTAAAAAGCACTTCAAAAAAATTTAGAATAGAAATTTTCTGCAGTTACCAAACGCATTTCTGTTCTTTTTCTATTCCAGGAATAGAAATTTTGGACAGTTACCAAACGCCTTCAAATGCTCAGAAATTGTTTCCGGGCACAGAATAAAAAAAAATCATTTCTGTTCAGAAATAGTTCCCGGGCATAGAATGGTTGTCATGCGCACCCTTATTTGGCTCTGTGGTTCATATGAGAAATTGAAATAACCATTCTGATTGCAATTTCTAGATGCCTGGATTTATCTGGCCATTTTTTAATCTTAATAATGAACTAAAAATCACATCCATGACATGTCTGCCTGTGAGTCCAGATCGGGTTCCTGTTTGTTTCAGGGTGACTAACTGCCCTCTTTGGCTGTCAAAACAGGAGCTATGATCGCTTGCAAGTTGGCTGCCATGGTGCCCAACAAAGTTTTATCTTTAGGATTGCTCAACGTGACTAGTGGAGGCTATGAATGTTTCCCAAAGCTATTGCATCCATTTCAGTAAGCGATGGTCCTTCCTTTGAATAGAGATTGACATTTTTCTCCATGCAAACTAAAAGGGTAAAGAATGTTCTTCCCAGTTTCTTTTATCATTAAAAGAACTATTCATTTGTATAGGTGTTCGTTGTTCAGTACTTTACAGACAGGTTGTTCATTTATTGCATGTTGAGCCTGTTTTATGCCCCTATCCTTTACTTTAAACACATGAACAAGAGGAAATGGATTTTTTTTACTAATATACTGCTTAGAAAGGAGCCGTTATGAACTGTTACTGGTTGTTTACTTACGGATTTTAATCCATGTCCAGAATGTTCCTTATTATTGTTTGCACGTAGTAGCAGAAGTTGCTTTCACAGTTTGCATCTCTCGAATGTCCCAGTCATAGCTACCATACAAAATCATTCAAATGGAAAAATCTTCAAAAGATCTCATTGCATCACTTGAATATCCCAACCATAGCTACCGCACAAAATCATAGAGATGGTTATTTTTCAAAAGATCTCTCGTTGATTAGCTACAAGAGTCCTTTTCCTTGTGAAAATGAGAAGCAATGCAGAGACATAGGACTTAACCTTGGATATTGTGCGCGAACAACGATTTTTTGAAATAGAGATTCTAAGAAAGATCAATATCTAGCAAGGGCCTTTCTGCATCGCAGTTGCAGTCTTTCTGAGATGATTTCGTGTTTTCATCTAGGCAAAAAAGGTCCTCTCACAGTTTACCTTTTAATGGTGAAACTGCTTATTGTTCACTTGAATCCATTCATATTCTGTATCTTGACCTCACCATATGATGGAACATTGTTATCGGGGGAGTCGAAAGCTGTTTTGACTTTCCTCAAGAAAATTGGTTTCATTTTTACTTTCCCAAAGAAATTCCCATACTTGTTTTAAGTAGCTATTTGTGCTATTTACCATGTGAATTAAATTAGTTTTGATGATGCAATTGCATTGTCACTTAAAACCAAAAAAAGTTGAATCCAGTCCTGATATTGCACTTGAGCCACTATTTGAGTGGTCTAACAATGATCTTTTGATTTGCGTATACAAGACCGGCGAACCATCTCAATTGCAATCCGCTTTTTTAGGGCTAAAACTCCGGAACAAAGGGCTGCTGTTGATTTGGATACCCACTGCTCAAAGGTAGGCAATACTTATGTACTTAAACCATCATTGTAAAATCCACTGCCTCCCCCTTTCATCTCTGTCAAAGGATAAATACTTAATCTTTCTCCATCCCAAAAGAAATAAGGATTTCAGGAGAACAATCAGTGGTTCTGTGATAGTATGAATTAAGGACTCCAAGTAAATTCATGTGTGTTCTTATGATTGGAGTCTTTCTTGTGGGACATGGAAGTGCGTCGACGTGTTAGGCTTCCACGGACAGAGGTTTCAGATAATCTGTGTGAGTGTGTGTGTGTGTGTGTGTGTGTGTGAGAGAGAGAGAGAGAGAGAGAGAGAGAGAGAGAGAGAGAGAGAGAGAGAGAGAGAGAGAGAGAGAGAGAGAGAGAGAGCAATCCACAGGGTAAAGCCGTCGGTCTATTTTTCTTTCTCTTATGGAAGCGTAATGTATTATGTGCAGGAATATCTTGAGGAATATGATGGATCTAGCACCCGGAGGGGCAGTACTCCACCAAGTAAGAAATCTTGAAAAATCTCAAGTTTCTTTGGTCTAGCATTAACATAATGGAGCAAACTATACATGGCCTTAGTAACTCTTGTGTTATTTAGAGACTTCCTGAGGGCTTTTTAAGGTTTAGTAAATGTTTATGTCTACGAGTGTTTTTTAGGTTTAAATGCACAACAATGCCATATAAACAAGTGCCAAACTATCATTGAGTTTTCCTATCCTTAGGATATCCAGAGATGCATTTTACTTTGGTGTTCACAGTTAAATGGACCTACCTTTGAATAACCATGGTGCAATATGGTATTTTACCTTGACAACTTTTTTTCACTTATGACTATACACCTTTGCTTTCATCACATTTTCACGAGGACCAACCAAGATATATAGGTAATTTGAAAGAAGCAGTTATCACTGTAAAGAAGTATTAGTCCCTGATTTAGTGTGGAATGGTTTGAGTGGCGTTCTCTCAACTCTAAATATGCCATTTGGCAGAATGTTGGCGATTTTGCTGTATGTTTACCTTGTTGTATGCAGGCATGACGTTGTTGCTCAAATATGCCATGCAAGGAGTCTGGCAAAGAAATTAAAGCATGTTGCTAGAATGATGAAGCTTGATGGAGGGCACCTAGTGAGTCATGAGAGGACTAAAGAGGTACTTTATTTGAACAATAATTGGAAAGCTAGATACTGTTTTTTTAGAGGGCAGTTTTTCTGGCACTACTACATGCTTGCTCCATGATAATTTATAGATGGCAATTAGGCTTTCGGAGTGCACTGGACAAACATGTGAATAAGTTGGATGAAATCATTCTAGACGGTTAGGTTAGTGCTTATAGGTTTTGTGCTAATTACAATGAAATGGATATACTTTAATTCTTTCAATTGACTTCTTGTGTGTATGAATTGAGATCAAAGGAATGTGTAAAGTTTATTCAGACTTGAGAGGTTTTTAGATGTGGCTTTTGAACATATTATTGCGGTCCAGAGTTTCTCAAAAATGAGGGAATCATATCAAACTGTTTCGGTAATTTGGTCATACAAGTTGATTTAATTGTTTGGGCTTGATTGTTGAACAGCAAAAGATGGATTGAAGCTATGCTCATGTTCAGGTTAATCAAGCTTCTCGAGCTGATCAAGGTATCAGAAATGAAGGTTGTCTAGCATGATTGGACTGACTTGCCTAACAATAGCCCTGGTGAGTATTTCCATGGTCAGAATGATTTCCCAGTCTCATTTATTCTTTCTCTGAAGCATTTGTGCACCTTAGAGAATCCTGAGATCGACCTTGTCTTCAAACTTTTTTATGAAAGGATGACTCTAAAATGACGAAAGAATTCATTGTCTTAATGACGCCTTATGCAAACTATGCTAAATATAATTGGGAATGCGGTGAAGTTCACAAAGCAAGGCTATGTATCAGTTGTAGCTTCCATTGCAAAACTAGAGTCTTTAGCGGAGTGGCAACCATCCGATTTCCATCCGGTCTTTAGCAATGCCCATTTCTACCTAAGAGTGCAGGTTGATGGCTTTTGCAGTTCAGCTTCATTTAGCATGTATAGATTGTCCTTTTGAGCAAAACTCCTTATCTTCAGCTCCTCTCTCTCTCTCTCTCTCTCTCTCTCTCTCTCTCTCTCTCTCTCTCTCTCTCTCTCTCTCTCTCCCTCTCTCTCTCTCTCTCTCTCTCTCTCTAGGCTTGCTATATATTGCTTTGCTTCATGTTCTCTTGCACTGATAAATTTGAATTACAGCGCATCCCATATCAGAAAACATGGCTATCTTTTGTAAAAATCGATCTGGGTTATCATTGTCTTAATGATGCAACTGACTTGGATTCTCATAACAGGTTAAGGACTCTGGCTGTGGCATACAGCCACAAGATATTTCTCAAATATTTACCAGATTTATTCATCCTCGAAGTGGATCTAATCGAGGTAGTGGCGGTGTAGGACTTGGACTTGCCATTTGCAAAAGGTAGATTGCACACTGCCTAATGCTTTTGCTCAAATTGCAATTTTCTTTTCTTGTGTAAGCATATATGGTCCTTTGGACGCTTTACTGATTGCCAGTTCCTCAAGCATATGAAGCCCTACTGTCTCATGCACACTGAACCGTGAGTCAGAATGTCCAACCTTGGGAGGGCTTCATGTCACGCCCCGTACCCCACGAAGCATGAGCATCCCGCTTATAGGTCGAAATAGTAGCGCGACGCTTCTAGGTTACGTCACCGACCCGAAAACCAAAATCAGAGAAAACACGCCACATGCAGAAACGACGTATATGTAATAAATATACATATACACCCAGACAATTTAAAAGCAACCACGAGTGGCAAGAGAAAAATAAATTACGATTGATTAAACCCCCATATACATTATCCGTCTACAAACAAAAAGGTACAACAAAAGGCCACGAACAAAAAGGGATCGGTGACCTAGGGGTGTCAAACTAACTACCGGAGGGGTACGGTCAAAAAGTGTCGACCCTCACTCCTATGCTGATATCTAACCTACGGTACCCAGTCAGGATCAGAACCCGACGACTCCGAAGAACTCTCGAGTCGCTCTTGATCCTCCTCAGAACTCATGGCCTCCAACTCCATCTCTGGCTCAGGGTCTTGTTCTTCGTACTCGTCTACGTCCATAGGCTCAGGGGCTTCCGCGTCCACCTGCTCTGGAGCTGGATCGACTATCTCCGGCTCAAAAGCTAATCCACCAAGCTCCTCGTGCTCTTCCTCTTCTTCCACAATCTCGTACTCAACCTCAGAATCAGGATTGCCCTCCATATCGACATCTACTATATCACCGTCTGGACATTGAATATCTAGCAGACCCTCTCCCACAAACGGAACGTCGGTGGACCTGATGGGACCGAACTCTACTCCAAAACGATCCCGGAAACACCAGGCTAGATACTCGTGAGTCTCAAAGTGAGCTAAGCCTACGTCTACCCATACTAAAGCATAGTGTCTATAGTACTTCTCCCCGTTCCCCACGGGGTGCACGGTCAGCGTACGCTCTATATGGTGGGGAATCCCAAAGCGTAACGGTGCGTTGTCGAAGTTCATGGCGGGAGATCTGAAAAGTCGGTTTTACCACAACCGTGAGAAAACTCAGCAAGTAAAAACCACTAATCCTAAACTAGGCTAATGTGCACCTCCAGAGGGTAAATAAAACACATATATAGATAAATAAACCCAGTACAACAATCAATAAGCTCACCCGGGCCCACAGCCCAATTCACTACTTTGTCCTGCAGGTTAGACTTTTAATATAAATATAAAACATATGTGAGTAAATCGACCCGAAGGCCCGACCCGAAGGCCACAATTTCTCCCGACCCGAAGGCCCGACCCGAAGGCCACAATCTCTCTCGACCCGAAGGCCCGACCCGAAGGCCACAATCTCTCTCGACCCGAAGGCCCGACCCGAAGGCCACAATCTCTCTCGACCCGAAGGCCCGACCCGAAGGCCACAATCTCAATCACTTCAAACATGTACACCAATGCGTCCAATATTGATAAATCAACGTCACGAGAGATGAACACAAGCCAAGGCACTCAAGGTTAATCGCCCACACTAATGTACCAAGCATACTCATTCTCGACTTAGACGCATTCAACTCATCCTCAAAACAATCAATTTACTTCCGTTCTCACCCAATCCACCCGACATTGATTCGCACCTTTATTACCATTCAATGTAATGCACCTAAGGCCCGCCTTGGGTAATTCAAACTTAGTCCTCATTCTCATTGGTACGGGGTCACAAGATAGGATTTATATAAGTCCTAAGTAACCTCTAAAAATGCATAATTCCTTGCCATTAACCAATGACTCAACTAAGTATTCAACTTGGATAAATTGCACAAATTCGGTATTCAATGAACAGTACCAGGGGAGGACACATTTTGCCCACTAAACCACAATTAAACACCCTCATTAGGCTCCAATCTCAAGCTCCAATCACCCAACAACCAAATCCACTTAAATAAGGTTCAAACAAGCCTAAATAATCCCCAAAATGTCCACTTCCAAGTCATTAGCACTTGAACTCAATTAGTGAAACACTTAGACAAAATTTCACAAATTCGGTGCCCCATGAACAGTACCAGGAAAATCAACACTTTGGCACTAAACCACCTTTAAACCAACTCATTAGGGCCTAATCACTTACCCTAATCATTCAACCACTAAATATACATAATTAAGCCTCAAATAAGTTTAATTGATCCCTACAATGACCAATCCAAGGTCATTATCAATTGAACCCAAATAATTTCACACTTAGACAAATTGCACAAATTCGGTATTCAATGAACAAGTGTCGAACGTAACTCCAATTAGGCCATAATCCACCTCTAACTTACTTCATTAGGCACTAATTAGGCCCCCTAATCACCCCACATCACATTAGGCATATCTAGACCATGATTAGGCTTAATTAACCCCCTAATTACCCTCTAAAATGCACAAATAAACTAATTAAGGGTTTAGGGGTTTATACTCGCCTAGAATCGACTCGAGGCGACGGGAGCGGGCGGTCGATTACCGACACGCGGTGAGAATCGACGGCGGCGCTCCGGCGGTCACGGCGGCGCCGGTGTGATTCACGGCCACACTCCCAACCGGAACAGGGGAGCTGCTGGGCGTACGGGCTGAGGATGGTGGAGAGAGAGACGGTGAGGGTGAGGTGGTCGACGAGGCGGCACACGGCGGTGGACGGCGGCGCGGTGCGGCGAGGTGAAGGCCGGCGGTGTTTCTCTCCCTCCCTCGCCGGAGCAGTGGCGTGGGGCGGACAATGCGAGAGGTGGGGCTGGTCGACGGGGTTAGGGCGGTGCCGAGGGTCTTGTGCGGCGGCCGGAAGAGACAGCCGGCCCGGCGCGCTGGCTGTTCGGCGTGAACAGTGGCCGCGGAGCGAAACGACCGAGGAGTGGCGTGAAGAAGACGATCGTGAGGCCGCTCGGGAGAGAGAGAGAACGTGAGCTGAGAGGTCTGAGGAGAGAGAAGAAACAAGTCAAAAGTGGTCAAACTTGGGTGAGTGGAATCCAAGTGTCAACAATCCAAGGGTTTGGACAATTTGCCCTTGAATCCAATGGCTTAGGTTCACTTCTCTCCAATAATTCAAGGGTGAGAAGGTCAAATGCCCCTAACCAAGGCTGACCAGGTCTGGTTTGGTCCACTTAACCTTAGTTAGTCCCCAAATTTTATCCAAATTTCGGAATAAGTTAAAATGGCCTAGGGGCATTTTCGTAATTTTCCGATCCCGGACCGAAATTTCAATTTTTGTCCATACCGGTCCTATATGTTCATGGGAGACTTAATACGGTGTCGGATTCGCGAAATTCACTTTCTACGCCTTCGAAAATCGCCTGCGAAGTCCCGGGAATAAAATAATATTATTTTTCTAATTTTTGCCGAAATTCCCGTTTTTGTCCAAAACCACTCTAAATGTACGTGGCCACTCCAAAATGACCTTGGCCGCGAAAAATAACCTCAAACGGCCTCCGAATCCCGCCCCGGTGCCCACGGGGGCAAAACCGTAATTTTCCCAATTTTTGTCGAAATTCCTATTTTCAGCCGATCTTGTCCCAAACTTACTTGGCCACTATAAAATGACGTCCGTCCTATAAAATAGTCATAATTACCCTTGAAATTTTGATATCGGAGTTCGGCTCAATATCGCGATCAAAATAACTCGTTTTGAAATCTTAGGATCTCTCACTAACGGGTGGCCATTTAGGTGTTACGCGTATCGACCTAAGACTGTCCGAGTCTCGATAGTCTCAAATCTCGAGAGAAGGTGAGAGATTATCACTAGTACCGGGGGTCGCGATCGTTCGGATATAATTTGGGATTTGTTTGTCAGGCGTACTTTCGGTCGTGCGGAATCACCCGCGATCCAATCGTACGTTACTAACTATATCAAATCTATTATCTTCCTAAGATCGGCCCATATTGGCTCAAGATATTCCCTCGACGTTTCTCGAAATCAGTGTCCAATCGCGATCGTCTTTCTCGGTCCACGTACCTGTTCCTATTTTAGCCTTTCCCATTTGGTTAGTATCCCGTGATTGATCAAGTCCGGGCGAGACTCACTAAAATCACACGAGAATTAATATACGCTTTACTGGTTCCGATAGCGGGTCAAAATTCAGGATGTTACACTTCAAATGAGTTCAGTTCGGTCAGGAAAGATCTATGGATCTTTGAACCTTAAATTTTATGCTTCTTGAAGCATAATATCAAATAGCAGCCCTTGAGGTTGTGGATTGATTTATTTGCAGCGGTTACTATTTTAGTTTTCTGACCCCTTTTGGACACTCATGATATCTCAGAGATAATTTTCTCAATCCTTTCGTCTACTAAAGTTTGCAAGCCACCGGATGAAATTGCATTATCTTGGTTTTTTGATTTGACATCTCGCCTACTCTCCTTTTAATGATTTTAGATTTATAAATCTCATGGGAGGTCACATATCCATCGAGAGTGAAGGCCATGACAAGGACACCGACATCACTTTTGTCGTCAAACTACAGAAATGCAGCAATGCAAATGACTCGGCAGCACACAAGATTACACCTAGAGCTCAGTCTAGTCATGGTTTGTGCCGATTTTGCTCGGCACAAACCTCACAGAGATACTGACAGAACGGTCCCCTCCAATTCCTAGTATCAAAGAAGTTTTTGAAGTCTCGAATGCAAGTTGGCGTATCCCAACGAGGTCTTCCCAAGATACCTTTCAGATGAAAAATGGGTACTAACTGCGTAATCCCTCTTCATCTTGGAGGCCTGCACATCTGATACTTGAGTGATACTTCAAAGCATCAACTTTATGTCTTGATTAGAAAGGTCTCGAGGTTGTGAGTAAGAAGTCATGCAGGGAGGCCCTTCTATTTTTTTGTAAGTAAAAGAGTTTTTGTATGATCCAGTAATTGTCATATACTACCGTAGGCGGATTGGGATGAATACGCTAGAATGCGAGGGACCCGACTCAAGTGTCCAAGCAGTCTTGTGAGTATAACTTTTGACTGTTCCAGTAGAATAACTGTTGTTCCCTGCACTCTCAGTTTTCTTGCATCTGCACTTGCCCTACATAGTCCTAGGAACCAGGTCCATGATGCACTCTTGTATAGTTTGGGATGATTCCCAATTATGGAAATTCACATTCTCTATGTGCGGAGCAATGACTAACATTCGCTTTAAGAGTTATTAGCAAAATGTATTACCAAATCACTCTCCTTCTGCAAATTTGTTAGTATTATAATAGCAATAACTATTATTATTGTTGTTGTTCTTTGCCTTTTTCTTTCCGAGCGGCTGCACGAGCAACTCTTGGAATTAATCGCCTTTTTCTTTCAAAACATGAGTTTATAAACTCAAAGAAGAGATAACATTACTCACCTGGAATTCCCAAAATCAAATAACGAACCTCAATCGAACCAACAATCTCGTAATTCTAACAATTAAACGAGAATTGACGTCAAAATCAAGTAAAATACTATGATAATTATGTAACGGCTAAATGATGCTTAAGCGCTAACAAGACAACTCAAAGGCGCCTATAAATTGTTCATTCAAAGCGATTATCCAAACCATCCGCAACGCGGAGCTTGAGCGCGAAATTTGATTGCGCTATAACTTTCTCCACTGAACTCCGATCCTAGCAAACTTACTGTCAAAAGAAAGCCTGTTCTGAGTATTACAAAAGCCCCAACTTGGCCGTCCCAAAATCGAGCCAAAAACCGACGAAAATCAGTCCAAAGCCCGCTGGTCGCGCAATGTTCACCTTGTGCGGCCAACTTCAAAAATTCATATTGCGCAAACCGTAGGTCCAAATCACGATCCGTAAAATCCCATGGCTCCGTGACACCCTAAACTATCAATTATATATATATATATATATATATATATATATATATATATATATATATATATACACACGTAATTCAACTACTCAAAAATCGGACTTCACCGCTCAAATAACACATAACTCCGAAATATGAGCCCTAATCAAGATCCATACTGTTCATCTTGTGCGGCTAACTTCAAAAATTTATATTGGGCAAATCGTAGGTCCAAATCAAGATCCGTAAAATCCCACGGTTCCGTGACACCCTAAACTATCAATTCTATATATATACGTAATTCAACGACTCAAAAATCGGACTTCACCGCTCAAATAACACATAACTCCGAAATATGAGCCCTAATCAAGATCCGTACTGTTCATCTTGTGCGGCCAACTTCAAAAATTTATATTGGCCAAACCGTAGGTCCAAATCAAGATCCGTAAAATCCCACGGCTCCGTGACACTCTAAACTATCAATTCTACATATATACGTAATTCAACGACTCAAAAATCAGACTTCGCCGCTCAAATAACACATAACTCCGAAATATGAGCCCTAATCAAGATCTGTACTGTTCACCTTGTGCGGCCAATTTCAAAAATTCATATTAGGCAAACCGTAGGTCCAAATCAAGATCCGTAAAATTCCACGGCTCCGTGACACCCTAAACTATCAATTCTATTTATATACATAGTTCAACGACTCAAAAATTGGACTTCGCCGCTCAAATAACACATAATTCCGAAATATGAGCCCAAATCAAGATCTGTACTGCTCACCTTGTGCGGTCAACTTCAAAAATTCATATTGGGCAAACCGTAGGTCCAAATCAAGATCCATAAAATCCCACGGCTCCGTGACATCCTAAACTAGCAATTCCTTATATATACACAGTTCAACAACTCAAAAATCGGACTTTGCCGCTCAAATAACACGTAACTCCGAAATATGAGCCCTAACCCGGAAAGCTTTTCCGATTGGACGAATGAGAGGCGCGAGCACTTACCAGACGTTGTGTTACGAAGTCGAATCGGCTAGCCGAGAGAGCTCTCGTCTCCCCTTTTTAACTGATCGTCCACTGTAGCTTCTTTTGACTTTATGACCCTTTTAAAAAAAATCCCAAATATTACAATTACAACCTTTGTTCATGTGACCTTATTCAAAACTAAGATTTCAACTATGCCAGAGATTAGGCGAGACGATGCTTTAACTTGTGGAAACATACCTTATTCCGAACATTAAACTAAATTTTTCATCCAGCTGGTCATTTTGTTAAGTCCCAACGGAGAATTTCCCATCTTCCACTCCAGAAGCGGACCTTAATTCAAAACATAATCGTTTTTCGGGTCAATTTTCTGGATAGACAAGATTAACACACGGTGCTTGCCTGTTTTAAGCAACATAACGCTTTTTACCTGAAGTATGCCAAACAATATCAGCTTTGCTTATTCTGACGCAAGATAAACCCCCACATGGTCATAGAACACCAGGAATTGTGATAATTTTTTACTCTGGTCACGACAAATGTAACTTCTATAGGTAATGCACCCTTCTACGACGTATGGGTGCACCAGTTTCCAATGCTGCCACTCTCTCTTTTTTAGAAGAGAAACTTCATTCATGCAAATTGATAATGCACACAGATGGATCTAACGAAGTGAGTAAGGATGAATCAGAGAAAAACAGCCACACCCAAGTTTTCAAATTAAGTGCAACACTAAAAGAATGAAATCCATGGTAATAATTGGAAAGACAAGGATCTAAATATAACTTTGAAAATCATCGGACTTCGTCTTTCTACCATATGAAACATTAAGTTCCAGAACAAACAGAAACAAATAGGCAAAAATAATCTAACATAGTTACTAAAGACAAAAGGAACACCAAAATTTGTGTAATCTTCAGCATTCTTGATCACGGGTCTCACTTCTTTGCCTTCTTTGGTACCCTGAAAGCCAAATAAAATTCTCTCAGATAAATCCAACTGTGGATAAAGAGAAATCTGCCCATTTTGTTGCATATACTTACTCGGCTGCAAGTGCTGTAGCTGGCGGTGCTGCTGCTGGCTTCTCATCAGGTCCCTGTTCAATTTAGACAAGGGAATCAATTTAGAATCCACCTATGATACATAAATACATTTACAGTCTAGTATAATAGAGCTTGTAATGTTGCTAGCTTGAAACAAAACTTCATTCATGTTCAATAAATGCATGAGTTCGTGCATTCTGGACCCAAATACTAAATTGTGAGACGATGCCATATGAACTTGTTCCTTTATATCATTCTTGAAACTTGACACTAATACTTCATATTAGTTGACAGCTTAAGATCATTCTTCATCTGCACATCACTGAACAAATATTATAGATGAATGAGCCTCCAATCACCAAATGGTAAGTCAAAATACCAATGATTTCATTATAAGTAGCAGCCCAAAACAAATGGTAAGTCGAAATACCTTCAATCATGAATGAGCCTCTGATCACCAAGGCTGCATATTGGATATTTTTCGAAGGCTTAAGAAGGCAATGACCTTATATATCAAGAACAACTTTGCCCATTTTATGAACCGGCTAAAACTTGAGAAGAATGGTAAAGGATAAGACAAAAAAAAGAAGATTACATGTGCAATCCACAAGCTTTGAATTCCATTAATTGTAGTACCAGATCGATGACAAAAAAATGCCAACAACGGATATCATAGGCCAAAAAATCTTTCTTTAGAATACCCATAAATGCAAAAAATTAAAGAACATAGTGAATACTCAGAAGAAGAATGAATCTCTGCATATGGGTGAAGCTCTCAGTAAGTTTGATAAGATCATAACTTGCATAAAACTAAATCTTTACTACTCTAACAATCCTTTTCTAATGTGTATCGAAACAATGCCCCCAGTTAATCACGACAGCACGTCAAATGAATATCGAACTTGGTTCCTGCTGGATTTGAAGCCCAACTAACAAAATTGGAAATATAAAAATATTTCTTCCAAGTAACAGCCAAGGAAATACAAAGGAAGATCTTTTCATATAAAAGGCACATATGCAAATCCCTAGTCACACTGAACTCATACTACAATAGTTATCATATCAGAGAAGGACGCAAAAAATATTTTATTCAGTGAAGGGATTTATTACGAGGGTTCCTCCTGACTATTTATGTTGCGACTGTGCATTGTCTATGCTTTCAAAGGGGGATTCGGATTCATTCATCCCAGGATGCTGAAAAGAGTTTGATGACCCCTGTATAAGAGAATAACAAATATATTTACATTTTACTAAACAATATGCCTAGATCAATATGTTTCAAGTAATCCCGCATCAACAAAAGGCAAGTTGTACCTGGCTCAAAATGGTTCCATGGGATTGATTATGGTACTCCAACATCTATCCAGAAGAAATCATTAATAAATATTACAATAGTAATAAAAAGTTCAAATAAGACTAGATTCTAAAATGATTTCATAATAAGTACTTGACTAGTGAATGGGGAAAATCCACTCCTTGGCAGCATGACGTATGGTGATTGCATCTACATAAAATAAATTACCTCATTAGCGTAAAGAGGCACAGTAACTTGAATAACATACAAACAAACTAATTGATCACCAAACTATTAAATACCTGACTAGGGACCGCGCAAAATCCACTCATAATCCTCGACGGCATGATGAATGGTGGCTGCTGCATTCATATAAAAAAATGACCAATCAGTAAAACATAAATACAAATTGAGGACAAAGAGCAATATACCTGATTATGAAAATTTAGATTTACAGTAGGACCACCAATGTTGCTAGGATAAAAGACACTTCGAAATTGATTTGAATTACTCGAACAATCTGGAAATCGAGCTTCATTAGGTGTCGCTTGGACAACCAACTCTACATTACAAAGTAATAAATATGTTAATTGGTATCATGTAACATAAGCAGAAAATTTAACTAATTATATTAACTAGAATAATATGTCACTCACCTTGACTTACTATTTGCGTTGGGGGAGTTCCTTTCTTAGATTTTTTCTTCTTTTTCTCACTTGAGCTTTTAAGCCTTCCATAACTTATTCCCTTTCGTTTCCTTCGAATGGGGTCCGCTACTGAAATATCGCACAAAGCCTCATTATCCTCATCATCACCAGCATCATCAATCACAACCATACTTGATTTGTACGATGAAATTTCAGCCTTTGCTTTAACCATGTGCTTCCTCAATATTCTCATAGTATCTACATCTTCGGCTCCCATACTCATCAGTTCAATGGATTCATGCATTAACGTGGAAAATCGATTAAATTTAGATGGACCCGGTGACATTTGATGTGATTCATCATTCACAATCCCTTCTTTGGCATCCTTAGTCCATCTTTTCAAAATATAGGAAGATGGAATGACCGTAACCATCAACATGTTCACATTCAACACGCATAAGGCATGGCGACACAACCACCCTTTTGATTCAAATAATTTGCATTCACAAGAAACCGAAAAGTCTGCAGAGTCAAATCTAACAACATATTCACCTTGACTCCCAATCCCCATACACTTGAGAGTATATAAAGAAACCGATCCATCAAATGTAGTACTTGAAATATGTTCGGATAGACTATGCAAAAATTCTTCATTAAACCTTTCAAAAATGGTACGGGTATATACTGAAGTAGCATGCGACAAGATCCCATTATTTACCTTCAATTTGGCTGTCCCACGAGAACTGTAATCATATTGACTTTCAACTTCTCTCATATGCTTTAGTTGTTCTTCATAATGGTGGACAAATTCTACAAGGGACAATGTCTTTGTCGACATATGTCGGAAGACATTATTGGTGCTCTCACTCCTTTGAGTTGACCTTATACCACACGTAAAAGAGTCATGACCAAAAGCTGAACTCCATTTATATCTAAGGTCATATAATCTCTGAAGCCACTTGTTATTCTTAGTACCCCACACCTCTTCCATTTCCCTCCATGTAGCTTCAAATTCATCCTCTGATTTGCATCTATACATAAGTGCTAAGAAATATTTATCCTTAAAACCCGGCTTATGGTAAAGATGCGGAATGTTTTGATTCGCATTTTTCCCAATGTGCCACGTGCATAAACGGTGCTGTGTATTCGGAAACACCATTCTAATGGGTTGGTCTTGATCAGTGAATATGATTTTCGGAGCCTTATTTCCCATAGACTTCAAAAACACCTCAAATAACCAAATAAATGATTATGTAGTCTCGTCCAACAAAAATGCACGACCAAACAGAGTATTCTTCCAATGGTGATTAACCCCAACAAAAGGTGCACATATCATGTTATATTTGTTGGTAGGATATGTGGTATCAAACACTACTACATCACCAAAACAGTCGTAATCAAATTTGAACAAACTATCTCTCCAAAATAAATTGGTCAATCTACCATCCTGATCTACTTGAACAGCATAGAAAAACATTGGGTTATGCATTTGCATGCAATGAAAATGGTTCAAAAGACTTTGACAATCTCCGCCACTAATAACCTTGGATCTTTCTGTTTGCAAAAAATTTTGACAATCACGTAGGATGAACCTAAGTTTTTGCTTCCTCTAGCTTCGTTTGCTAAAAACTTATATGCTGAAGTCCCCCCAATGCCCGCTTTAATCATGTCAACCAAAACACCCTTGCACGTGTCAGATATCATTCTTCCGCATCTAATCAAATGCTTTTGATCTTCCGGTACAAATGCATGATTATGCTCAGAAACATAGTCCATGACTTCATATACACCATGATCAACCTTAAATTTGATATGAGCAAAACACCCACATCTAACTTCAAATCTCTCATATTTCTTTTCTTGATCAGATGACCCAATCGAATGCCCCTCACAATTACACAAAAAAGTACGCCGAGTTATTTCCCCTTTTCTATTTTTAACAGTATTACCCTTTCTCACTCCAAATCCTTTGCCAATTGCATAAGCCACATACATATGATATGCTTCAAGTTCATTTGAGAAAACCATCTCTATTACAAACTCAAAATCTTTTTCCATATCACGCATCACATGTGCAAGATGGGAAGTTTCATGCTGCAACCAAATGAACAAAAAATAATTCAAGAAAAATAACATCTCATCCTTTACTTAAGAAAGCAAATTATGTTTTAAGAGTAAAGAATTACCTCTGAGTCAGCCATTTGATATCTTTACAAGTGCAAAATAACTGAGGTGATGAGAGACTATAAAATTCCCTCCTAATGAAATACAAAACAAACATTTTTAGAACACAATCACTCACACAAACATTTTTAGAGGACAATCAAACACAATCAATAGAATATACAAGCAGAGATTTATTTAGGGACCTAATGTAATTACTAAACTCCACATCATCATCAATAACGAATGGGAAAAATCATCTCAATGGGGTTTAACCGTTATTAGGTTTTATGTCACGCCCCGAACCCCAACGAGCTCGCGACATCCCCTGCTCCGGTCGAAATGATGCGACGTCCCAGGAACGTCGCCGACCCAACCCAAACATCAGAGCCACATGCGGAAGCGAATAACAAAACCCCGGACAAATAATGACGACAACAGGGTAGAACAACAGAACAATCCGGCAACCACATATTCATACAACACCAAATATACAAACATTATATTACGGACATAATTAACAAACTAGCATCCGAAATCACCGTCAACAAAATATCAAAGTCTGGTTAACTTAACTTCCCTATGGGTCAACCCGATTTACCCAACCCCCAAAACCTTAAGGAAAAACTAAGGATCGCCCTTCTCTATACTGCTTCTGAATCTTCGGGTCTGAGCCTCCGGACACTCACCTGCAACTCCACTGGGCACCAAAAGCTGCTCCCCTGACTTCCAAAAAGAAATGGCGCACTTCCCGGGTTTAGGGCTGGGGGTCTGAAAGTGGCGGTTATACAACCGTGAGACGAATCTCAATAAGTGTACAACCCCAAACCCCACGTAGGCACTCACGTACCGCCAAACGAAAACACACATAACACACAACGATCGGCCAAACTAACAATCACATGCAACCCTACCTGGAATCCATCACGCACGTCCCTGCACGTTAGTCAACCACACAGCCAGTATGCCACAGAAATACATCACAGCCGCGCTCGTGCCCCAATTATTGAGCAAAATCCACTTGGGCACGTCCCATACCATGCCTAGCAGTTTTTACCCCATAATCGAGCATCACACCACGCGATACAAACACACTCGCACCCCAACTCACACCACACGACACGTCACTTTCTTAATTTCACTCGTCCCGCCAATTCTTGCTCATTCTCAACCTTTCCACCACTACCGCGCCCGCGTAAAACGCATCAGGCCAACGGTCTTCTGACCTCGTCAGGCATCGTCACCCCGTCGGGCCGGGCATCGTCACCTCGTCAGGGACGGCATCGTCCCGCGTAAATGAACACGCCTCAGGACGGAATCCTACACACACTTTCCTTCTACCGTGCCCGCGTAAAACGCATCAGGCCAACGGTCTTCTGACCACGTCAGGCATCGACACCTCGTCAGGCCGGGCATCATCACCTCGTCAGGGACGGCATCGTCCCGCGTAAACGAACACGACTCAGGACGGATCCTTTCCAACCAATCCCACATTTCCAAACCTTCATTCCACACTCTTCACACGTACCACGCCACCACACAAACACACTGCCAAACATACACACTTCACACACATTCCATAATTTCGCATTCTCGTCACACGAACACGCACCACTTAACCACACGCTCTTGGCACGCGAATTCAATGCACATTCACATCACCATATCACCACACTTCACGGCTACACAAACACGGCACGCCACCACACCACATTCAGCCCAATGCACAAACCAAATCAGCCCACAACGATTTCCAAGCCAACCAACAAGCACAATCACACAACCACGCACAAATTTCCATTCAAGGCACAATCTCATTAATTAATCGCACAAATTAATTCCGATCAAACCCCAACATCACAGCCCTAATCCAAGCTCCCTAAACCTCAAAATTTCATCGCCTAATCAGTCCGAGAGAGATAAAAACCGAGAGTGAACAAAATCGGGTCCAAACTGGGCAGTTACACAGTGACAGAAATCCATTTGAAATAAATAGTAAATCAATTTCAAAAATTCTGAAATTTAGATATGTTGTACAAAACATCTTCATGAACATTTTCCATGAGAACTCGAAACCCAATTCTAACCGTAAACACCTCGTTTTGACACTCAAAGTCAGACGAAATCCGGTTCGCTCGGACAGCCCCTCAGGCCATCAAAATACAACTCATTCGGCACCCAAATCATTTTGGAAAACCTTGAAATTTTTATATGTTATAGCCACAAATTTCCCCAACAATTTTTGTGAAGGAAGTATTTTTAAAATAGGCCTGGAAAAATTTATAAAAATTCGAACAGACCCGAAGGTCGGGTGAACAGTAAATCGGGCAGTTTTATTTCGGTCCAAAGATATACCTCCGAATGGCATCAAATGATTTCCAAAAATTCCCAAATTAAAATATGTTATATTTCAAGATGTTTGGAACAACTTTCATGAAGAAACCTTCCTCAAATTCGGGCCACACAAGTCACATTAAAAATAACAAAAACCAGCGACGCAGCAGTAACCTAACTGGAAATCAGCCAACACACACCACCGAGCAAACCAGCCATTAAACTCACCCTAAACCGAGCCCTAAACAAGCCTAACAATACCCGAGGTCCTAGGCGACATTTGGGGAGGTCACTTACCTAAAAAGCGAGACAGAACGGGGCTGGAACGGTGGCTAAAACGGCGGAACAGCAGCAACAGCAACAGCAGCGGTGATGGAAGGAAAAGAAGATGAAGAGAATGAGAGAGAGAGAGAGAGAGAGAGAAACTGATCGTGAGGGGGGGAGTGACCGACTTGGGGAACAAGAATGGGAGGAGAGAGAGAGGTTTGACTAGTTGGACCAACATTTCCAAAAATGCCCAAAATGCCCTTGAACACTTGGCCCACATTAATCCTTATCCAATAATTCAAGGGCAATGTGGTAAATCAATAATTCCAATTTCTTTTTTTTCACTTATTTTAGTCCTCAATTATTACCCAAAATTGTCCAAAATTCGGAATTCCCAATACCGGGTCCAGGGGCAAAATGGTAATTTTCTGGTCCCGGGGCGAAATTTCAATTTTCGCACATACGGGTTCCATATGGGCGTGGCCAACATAATATAGCGTCGGATCGGCGAAATTCACTTTTTAAGCCTTCGGAAATTGACTGCAAAGTTTCAGGAATAAAATAATATTATTTTTCGCTTCTGAGCCAAAATTCCAATTTTTGACCGAAACCACTCTAAATACGCGTGGCCACCCCAAAATGACACTAGCCTCGAAAAATAACCTCAAACGACCTCAAAATCCAACACTGGTGTCCACAGGGGCAAAACCGTAATTTTTCCGGCCCCGGACCGAAATCCATTTTTTTGCAGAAATGGGTGGCCCCAAGGTTGGCCAAGCCAAAAACGTCATCGGCCGCTCAAAATTGTCACTTTCAAAATTCTCGATTCCCGGGCCCGAATTCCAAGAAATGACTAAAATCGAATAATCGCGACTTTAGCTTATCTCTGGCTAACGGGTGGCTCATTGGGATTACGCGCTCTCGACCCGTGACTGACACTAAGTCAAATCACGTTTAAGTTTACTCTACCTGGGACAACCTCGGTTGTCATATAATTGCGAGGGTCTGTCGCTAGTTCCCTTCGGACACGATCAATCAAGTAGACCGGTCTCGGTTGGCTCAAAACATTCCCTCGTCAATCCATATGGTCGAAGATCGAACCCAGGTCGAGTTCTTTGGTCGTGCGAACTCAATCCCGTAATGGCCTTACCCCTAAGGTTAGCATCCCGAGAATGCGCGGGTCCCGGGTGAGATCTCACTATAAGTGCATTGGCCAAAATATTCATTTCTTAAATCCCGGGAAAAGGATCGAAAATTCAGACCGTTACATTTTATCTCTTACTTACTGCCAAACAGAAAAATAATCTCAATGGGGTATCATGGACTTATGTCTTTCCCTCGTTGGTTAGATAGTTTCATGTCTAGAGAAAAAAGATTCAAAGAAAGTTCATATCTTGTGCATTAATCCATTATGTCTAAATGAAGTATCCAGACAAGCTATTAAAAAACCAGCAAATCAATCACCATGTGTACCACAAAATGCACATTATATACACAATTTTCAGGATCAACTATACTATTACGGACGTTGTTGTCATTCCAAAATCCCTAACATTCACATATCACATTGACTCCAAATGAGGCAAAAAACCAATTCCGTGAAGACGAAACAAACCAACCATCCTTTCAACAAAATAAGATGTCTATTACCTGTCTGCCAGGACACATGCAGAAGAAGTAGCAAGCACGGTTTGTCCCTAAACTTGGGGAAGAATCAACATCCTCACCCCTGACATGCTTGGCAATCTTGTAATCTGCCACTAGTACTTTTCCACCTCCACCACGGACTTCCAATGCCAATTTTGAGTACTATAAAGTATAAAATCAACCCCATTATAACCTTGAGAAAAAGAATTATTTCACTAGAAATACTAAATTATGCAAGGAATACAATTTACTCCTATGAATATTGCGAAAAATCAAAATGAAATCTACTACCACCAGCATAAAGTTAGATATGATGGAAAAATCATACTAACATTGTGCGGTGTGACAAAAGTACCAACGTGGTGCATTAGTAACTCCACACAGTTAACCACACTCAATACCAAGGCCTTTATAATTTTCAAAATTGTTGCCACCACATATAGTCAAATTGACAGCACCATCCTCCCAGATTTGTCCCATTCATCCCACATTTGATCTACTTTTAACAACTGAGATCCAAAATGAGCATCCTTCAAGAAGCATGCACCATCTCCCTCATTTATTCTCTCTGTGTTATTTTTCTCCAATTAGTTTCCCGTTTGAGCAATCTCTAAGACATAAATCAAAGATGAAAGATTCCTGAACATAGATTTACTCTCCCATCTCTCCACTGTCACTTTCTGTACACCTATCCATTTGTGGTATGGTCATCTTGCTTCATCTCCCTATCACTCACTATGGTCAAAATCTCCTTCCCACAAACAACTCTTCCTTAAGTAGAAAAACCTCCAATCTCACAATCTTCTATTGATTCAAACTCCATTCCTCATTCTTCCCAATAACTCCAGCCCAAGCCTAAACATCACCTGCTGAAGTCAAAGGTTTAGCAGTACCATAGCATGGGCTGGAAAATGACAGTGGCAAATGGACCAATTTCAGGGAAGCAGATGTGGAAAGTGGAGGGATGGCTGGCCTAACAAATTTTGAGAGGTAATTGATTCCATAACATTGCTTGGAGAACAAAGAAAGGGAAGACAGAATGAGAGAAGAGGACATGCGGATACCATTCTGCTCCAGGCATGACAGGATATTTTTTCCCAAGCAAAAAAACACAGGATTTTTTTAAGAGTCTCTCGTGGATTTACCTAGAGAACCTCAATTGGAAACTTTTAACTTTATCGATAACCTAATTGAACAATCAAAACTAAAGAGCTGACTCGACATTGTATAAAAAAAAGCTCATTTCTGATGCAGTTATCCCTTCTAACAAATATAAAAGGTGACGAGATTTTTTCCCATTTTCAATGGTATTAGGGATATCATAGTCCTAGAAAATCAAGAGAACTTCCATAAATTTACCCTAACCACGACTGATCTAATCACAACAGAGTGACTGATTAGTGGTACAGCATGAAAACTATTAGAAATTACCATAATGGGAGCTGATTGTTTTTATAATCCTTTTTCCACTTTTATCAAGAAACCAATTCCAAGTCCTCTCCAAGGACCAAGGAATATGCTTGAGTTATTTATCCATAATAACTTTCAGTCAGCTTAAAATGGCAGAATTAGTCACTTTTCAATGTCAATGAGATCAGTACAAGCACTCTAGATTTTGCTGTTCCTATCTAAACCATTATATTACTTCCATGACAAATTAGAGTACCAACTTAAGCTGATAAGTACTTACTTCCATGACACTATTATATATTGCAATCTCCAATTAAAAGGAGAATTTGGAAATACAATTGCTCGGTTTCAGGAATTTTTTTTGCGATAAATGGTTTCTAAATTCAATCCGCTCTACCATCCAACAAATGTGAAAGACCATGTAAGTTGAGAAAAAAAAACTCACCTCATGCTCTGGAATATAAACAACGATTGGCTGCTTGCATAATTTTGAAATTACCTGTAATGAATTTATGATTGGAACTGGTCAATAGCTCAAGAAGAAATAAAGTGAGTGCTGCTAGCAAATGAAACTGTCAAAATGTAGAGAATAAGAAGACACCACCAGCTCCAATTAGCGCTAGAGAAACCTAGAAGAATTTACATAAACAAAAGACTACTACGTTTGTCCCTAGATGATCCATCATACTGCTCGATTTGAAACCATAGTCAACTCTTAATTCTACCCGAGAGATAAGGAAGAAAAGAAGCCAACCCCTATTATTTCTATCTTTACCAAGGGCTTAATTTAAACCACGATTGATCTAGTCCCAGAAAATCAAGAGAACTTCCATAAATTTACACTAGCAAAGGGAAGTGCATCACCAACCTGTATGCTATTTATTAGTTCTTGAGGATGTTCAACCCTCAAACCTACCTGCAAGACACAATAGAAGGAAAAACGACAGTTAATAGTTTCACTTATATTGCCAGTATCCATACATTTGGAATGATCTTACTATGCATACAGATCAAGTTGCCAAACAAGGCATTTCCAAAGATGCCAAACATTTTAGTAACCGGACTATATATTTGAGAGGATCAAGGGTCGCAAGTTGAAACAAGGTTGAAGTAGCGATCAAGATCACAATGCAAGAATATAACATTTCATAATTGTGGCTATAAAGAAGATGAGAGGATAATATTAGCATAACAGCTGAGAAATTCATTGCCAAATTGCTTCTTTTGCACTTTCACGCAATCAATCAAATTCTCCTGTGAATACCTCCCGATTCAAGAAACTCCACGAAGCAGTACACACTCAAACGAACTAGAAAGCTCACGGAATGTGTCGATCGGACTCATGTACTTCGACTTGTTGGCGGGCATGGAGCTTCGCCCCGCGCCGCGATTGTCGCACTTGCACACCTCAACCCCACCATCACCACCACCAGCGCCAGCTTCGAGAGCCGAGCAGAGCCATTTCTCTGGACAGAGAGAGAGGGGCAAAGGACGAATCGCCAATGGGGGCTTCGGAGGCGACAGCATAAGCGGAGGCGGCTGCGTGGTCGGATCTGAGCCACCAATCTTCACGTTAGGGCAAAAACGACGAGAATAAGTTCAAGTCATATAAAACCCTAACCTGAGAATGGGGCTTCGGAGGCAACGCAAAGGGCGAGTCGGAGCCCGAGATCGCCAAAGGGGCTTCGGGAGGCAACGGCGGAGGCGCGATTCGTCACAGAGAGCCAAGCGGTGCCGTTTCTTGGGACAGAGAGAGAGGGGCAGAGGACGAATCGCCAAGGGGGGCTTCGGAGGCGATGACGTAGGCGGAGGCGGCCGCGTGGTCGAGATCTGAGCCACCGACGGGCTCCGGGAGGCGACGGCGAAGGCAAGCGGCAGAGGCGGAGGCGCGGTTCACAAAAAGAGCAGCGCTTCACATAGGAGAGAGAGAGAGAGAGAGAGAGAGAGAGAGAGCAAATGGGTTTTCTGGAAGGGAAGGCGGAGGCAACCGGCGGGCGCGGCGGGTTCACGATCAAAGGAGGCGAAGTCGCAGAGGAAGGAAGAGGAGGTCGCGAGCGGGAGGAATTTTGAGCAGGACGAGTGAGGGAGAGAGAAACCGGGGGAAAAGCGTATATTTGAGTAGTAGAGGAGGCGAGATGACGGAGGGTTAACGGAGGATGGAAGAAAGAAGGGAAAGAATCATATTTTTTAATAAATCTGATTTGTGGGCTCGCTTGTCACGTGTCATGCACCCAATGGAGTTGTGTATTGCTGACGTGGAGTATTCCACTCGTGCAATATTTTCTCTGAGAGAGAGAGAGAGAGAAAGCGCATTACATGCTGATGACATGGCAAACTTTGTTGTTGTCGGCGTCGGTGAAATTGCAGTCGCAAGTGACTGCGTCAGTAGTTACGTAAGGCAATTTGTTCTCACCCCAGTTACCCTCTGTACTGCATGGATCTGCATTGTGTCACGCCTCGAACCCATCGAGCACACGACACCCTCTACTGGTCTCATAAGGCGACGTCGCAGGGTATCGCCGACCTCACTTATAAATTTCAGAGATTTAAATCAAGAGCGGAAATCACGAATTTCCCGGACAATTAAAATTGGGGAGAAAAGGGAGAATAAACATATTCATTTCTGATTCCAACTTATACAATATTCACAATTTACAAAACCACCACATATATGAAAAAAAAAACACACTAAACTACGATCCACCAATATACATAAAGCACACCGTACTACAACCATCGATATTAAAAAGGACCGATGACCTAGATGTCCTATCCTCAAAAATGGTACTCCTTCAAAGACCTATCTCCAAATCCCTATGCTAGCCCCTACGCCCCTTACTCGGCGTCCACTCTGAATCAGACTCCTCATCATCCGAATTTGAGTCCCCCTGGACAGTCTGCTCCTTCGAGGATTCCGGCTCGGCCTCAATCTCGATTGGGTGATTTATATCACCCGATTCATATGGAACTTCGTCCTGATCTCCTTCGACTAGCTCCTCAAAGAAATCCTCCTCAGGCACGAAATTAGGGTCCATCCACTGCTCAAACGGGAGTATATATTCGTGTTCTTCTGCAGGCTCGTCCTCCGGTTCCACGGGTTCACCCTCGGGTTCCGCCTCGGGTTCCTCCTCCTCTGGTTCTTCCTCTGGGATCAGCTCAAGATCCACGTCCATTGGGTCGTCTCCCGCTAGAGACCCTTCTGGCTCCGGCTCGTGCTCAGCCCGTGAAGATCCCGGTGCTGCAGACGCTGGATGTAGTCCAGACTGCGCCAGGCTAGTTTCCGCACTGGTCAACTCGCCGTCGGGAGGGGGTACAGCAGACGGGTCCCAGTCCCCAACTCCATCAAAAGGGACGTCAAATCCTCGGACAGGCCCGAACTCATCTACCCCATCCTTGAAGAACCAAGCAGTGTAGGTATGGGGCTCCCACAAGGGTAATCCTACATCTACAAAACTACGGTAGTGTGTTTAATCCAGGTCATTTGATCATCCATAGGAAACTCTAAAACTTCATGTTCGGTGTGCACTGATACTCCAAAACGCTCAGGCGGCGGCAGCGGAGGATTCATTGATCAGGCCGGGGGTCTGAAATGTTTGGTTAAAATAACCATGAGACTATATCTCAGTAAGTACACCCCTGAACCCCACCTAGGCTATCACGTACCTCCAGACAATCACAAAACACAATCACACACACACAGTCATCGCACGACAGGCACGTCTTTTATACTTACCTGGGTCTTTCCAGCGTGCAACCTGCACATTAGTCGCAATCACATAATATGCAATCACATGCATGTTCAAATCCCATTTCACACATTCGTTCCGATTTCACCACATCTTTTCCACATCACTCGCCAGTGACCCGCGTAATGGTACCGCCTCAGGTGCACTGCGACCAACTCATCACAACACTCCAGGGCCCGCGTAATGATACCGCCTCAGGGCGTGTATCTTGCCCCCGTAGTAGTACCGCCTCAGGCTCAACACCCACCACCTACGACACAACCCGCATAATGGTACCGCCTCAAGTTGGCCGTCCTCCGGTAATACCGGGCATCGTTCCGCGTAGTAGTACCGCCTCAGGACGGAAACATCCCCGCGTAGTGATACCGCCTCAGGGATTTCCACAATCACACATGCCACGTCATACACAATCTTTTTCTCATTTACATGCTCAACACTCACTTGCCAATCAGTTGACCAATCCCACGTGGCCCGTGCACGCAACAATTCACATACATTTTTTATGCTTACTAAGCATTCAACATGGCCAATTTGACAATTAATTCGATCTGGCTCGAGTGTGCACACAACAAGCATTGTTTTAAACCAATCAATTGCACATTAATGCACCCAATTTCATCACCACAATCAACTACAGTTCAAACGCACATTCAACATACAAATTGTCATTTTTCCCCAACCAAACTGCGACGAATCAATTTCGGT